GCAGACACCTAAGATGGATGCCAGCACATGAAGCAGCACAAGGTCTGAGGAAAGGTAGGACCTTGACAGTACCTACTCCTCAAGATAAGGCTTCTGCTGAAAGCGGGAGGAGAACAGGAGCATGAACATCCGCAGAAGGAACCCAGGAACGCTCCTCGGGACCATAACCACGCCAATGGACGAGGAACTGCACCCGACCGCAGACCAACCGAGAGTCCAGGATGCGGCTCACCTCATACTCCTCATGACTGTCGACCCGGATAGGACAAGGCCGAGGCGGAGAGGCAGTAAAGCGATTACAGACCAGACTCTTCAACAGGGATACATGGAAGACATTGGAGATACGCATCCCAGGAGGAAGAGCAGCAAGGGCATAGGCAACTGGGTTCACCCTGCGGAGGATGCGGAAAGGACCAACAAAATGGGGAACCAGTTTCGGTGCGGGCACCCGAAGATTGAGGTTACGAGTGGACAACCACACCCGATCTCCGACCTGGTATGAAGGAGTGGCAACCATCTATGATCAGCCTGGAGCTTCTGGCGCTGAGCTGAGTCCTTCAAGGACCTCTGGATCTGCCCCCACGAGTAACGCAGGGCAGCAAGATGGTTATCCACAGCCAGAATGCCCTGTGGCGAGAACAACTCAGGCAATACAGCGGGTTGGAACCCATAGTTGGCCATGAAGGGAGACATCCCGGAGGAGGAGTTGACAGCTGAGTTCCTCGCAAACTCTGCCCATGGCAGGAGATCGACCCAATTGTCTTGATGGTCAGAGATATAGCAGTGAAGGAATTGTTCCAGGGCCTGGTTGGAACGCTCCGCAGCCCAATTGGACTGCGGGTGGTAGGCCGAAGGGAAGGAGAGAACCTGGACACAAACTGGCTCCCACGGTCCCACGGTCCGAGACAATCACCTTAGGCAACCCATGCAAGCGAAAGATCTCCCTGGCGAAAACCGTAGCCAGTTCTTGCGAGTCCGCAATTTCTTGAACGGAACACAATGGCACATCTTGGAGAAACGATCAATGACCATAAGAATGACTGTATGGCCTCAAGACGCAGGGAGGTCTACAATAAAATCCATGCCCAGGTGTGACCAGGGACGTTCCCCATTGGGAATAGGGAATAGGTTGCAGAAGGCCCAATGGAAGATGCCGAGGAGATTTATTCTGGGCACAGACAGAACATGCCGCTACATATGAGGCGATGTTGGAACAAAGAGATGGCCACCAAATAAAGGAGAAACGACCCAGGACAACTGGTTCCTCACTGGATGACCGGCGGTCTTGGAATTATGGTAGGTACGCAGCAAGCGAATGCGCAATCCCTCAGGTACGAAACATCTACCAGCCGGTCTCTCAGAGGGAGCACCAGTTTGAGCCACCAAAATCTGCTCCCCAAGGGGAGAAGTCAGGCTGCTACGAATGGCAGCCAGGATCTGATCCGGAGGTATGACCGAGGTCGGCTCAGAGTCCTCCCTGGACAGCTCAGAGTATTGCCGCGACAAGGCATCAGCCCTGACATTCTTGGAGCCAGGCAAATAGGAGACCACATAGTTAAAACACGACAAGAACGGAGCCCATCTGGCCTGGCGGGGCGTCAACCTCTTAGCTTCCGAGAGATACATCAGGTTCTTGTGGTAAGTGAGGATGAGAACCGGAACCGCAAAACCCTCAAGCAGGTGCCTCCATTCCTTGAGAGCCTGAATAATGGCCAACAACTCCCTGTCTCCAATCTGGTAGTTGCATTCTACGGAGGAAAGCTTCCTGGAGTAGAACCCACAGGGAAGTAGGGGTCCATCGGGCGACCGATGCTGAGACAGGAGGGCGCCTACTCCCGTCTCAGATGCATCAACCTCGAGGACAAAAGGCAACCCAGGATTTGAATGAGACAATATCGGAGCCGAAGCGAAGGAGGATTTCAGAGCTTCGAAAGCTAAGATGGCCTCGGATGACCACTTGTGGGGATTACTGCCCTTCTTGGTCAGATCTGAGAGAGGCTTTGCCAGCGTGGAGAAGTTCCTGAAAAACTTCCGATAATAGTTGGCGAATCCCAAAAAGTGCTGAATGGACCAAAGACCACTGGGACGAGGCCACTGCAGAACCGTCGGAACCTTCTGAGGGTCCATGGAAAATCCCACAGCGGAAATGATGTAGCCCAAAAAGGCAACCAGGGATCGGTAAAATTCACACTTCTCGAGCTTACAGAAAAGCTCGTTCTCCCGTAGTCGTTGCAGCACTCGCTTAACATCCTGGATATGAGAGTCCATGGACGCAGAGTAAACCAGGATGTCGTCCAAGTAAACCACCACGCACTGCTGCAACAAGTCACGAAAGACATCATTAATGAACTCCTGAAAGACCGCGGGCGCGTTACACAACCCCGAAGGGCATAACCAGGGATTCATAGTGGCCGGTTCTGGTGTTGAACGTGGTCTTCCACTCGTCGCCCTCCTTGATCTGTACGAGGTTGTACGCAGCCCTAAGGCGGTCGAACAACTCGGTTATCAACGGAATTGGGTAAGCATTCTTAATCGTGATTCGATTGAGACCCCTAAAATCAATGCAAGGCCTCAATTCACCGCCCTTCTTTTTCTTGAAGAAAAAGCCAGCTCCTTCAGCAGAAGTAGACTTGCGAATGTGCCCCTGGGAAAGCGCATCCGCAACGTACTCCTCCATGGCCTGATTCTCCGCAACTGAAAGAGGATACACCCTGCCATGCAGAGGAGTGGCACCGGGTTGTAAGGTTATGGCACAATCGTATGGAGGAGGCAGAGGATGAGGAGGCAGAGCTCCGGCGCGCACCTTGTCAAACACGTCCAGGTACTCCCCATAGTCAGTGGGCAACACAGATGAGGCACACAACACCTTAACAGGTCCACGGATGCAACCGGCCCCACACTGTGGAGACCATGAGAGAATCTCGGCCGACCGCCAATCAAAGGTCGGATTGTACTTCTGAAGCCAGGGATATCCCAAAACCACGGAGTAGTGCGGGGAAGAAATTACCTGGAAACAGGCTGTTAGGGATCCGGGTATGACCAGAAATGTGTGGACTGATATAGGGAAACGCAGACTTCAGGTATAATGTGAATAAGACAATTTATTAAGACTAAACAAAACATAGACGCAGTACAAGACTAAACAACAATACAGTGCAAACAAACCAACCCAAACCTCCAACAGATAACAATAGAAACAATACTAAGCGTAGTCGGGCAGGCCGGGTCGGTAGCAAACGGGCAGGCAGGGCACAAGGAGCAGGCGGAAGAGTAGTCAGGAATAGCCGAGGTCAGGACAGGCGGAGTTCATGCAGAGTCAGGGATCGAAGCAGAATCTGGATCAGGCAGAAAGCAGACAGGATGCAGGTACAGGGGCCCATGGGAAACATACACCAAGGCCCTGATCACAGGCCTGGCCATTCCTTAAATACACCTGTTGTAATCAGCTTCAGGTGATGGCTCATTGCAGGAGTGAGCCTCTGGTTGCTGAGAGCACCTGCTGGCCAGCCCTGGTACTGCAGCCCACAAGGCAGGTGAGTCCCACCACCTCTTGCAAGTCCATTCCTGACAGTACCCCCCCCTCAAGGAGCGGCCTCAGGACGCTCCAAACAGTCCGTAATGGCCCAAATGTTCCACAGCCTGGGTCCGGCAACTGGCTGGACATCCCACTGCCGGAATCAAGCGAATGGCTGGGTCTCCTGCTGATAGGCCTATCTTTTTGTAGGAGACTGCAGGAAGGCAGATTGCTGGACACAGGATTTCCAGAAGCAGGCTGGGACAGCAGGCAGAGGCACGGCAGGCTGGGCAGCAGGCAGAGGCATGGCAGACTGGGCAAAAGGCAGAGGCACGTCAGGCTGGGCAGCAGGCAAGGCAGCGGGCACTGGGCCATCAGGCAGAGCAGTGGGCACCGGGCCATCAGGCGGAGCAGCGGGCACCGGGCCATCAGGCGGAGCAGCAGGCAAGGCAGCGGGCACCCTGCCATCAGGCGGAGCAGCGGGCACCGGGCCATCAGGCGGAGCAGCGGGCAAGGCAGCGTGCACCGGGCCATCAGGCGGAGCAGCGGGTACCGGGCCATCAGGCGGAGCAGCGGGTACCGGGCCATCAGGCGGAGCAGCGGGCACCGGGCCATCAGGCGGAGCAGCGGCAAGGCAGCGGGCACCGGGCATCAGGCGGAGCAGTGGGTACTGGGCCATCAGGTGGAGAAGCGGGCACCGGGCCATCAGGCGGAGCAGCAGGCACCGGGCCATCAGGCGAAGCAGCAGGCAAGGCAGCGGGTACCGGGCCATCAGGCGGAGCAGCGGGCACCGTGCCATCAGGCGGAGCAGCAGGCACCGGGCCATCAGGCGGAGCAGCGGGGCACCAGGCCATCAGGCGGAGCAGCAGGTACCGGGCCATCAGGCAAAGCAGCAGGCAAGGCAGCGGGTACCGGGCCATCAGGTGGAGCAGCGGGCACCGTGCCATCAGGCGGAGCAGCAGGCACCGGGCCATCAGGCGGAGCAGCGGGCACCAGGCCATCAGGCGGAGCAGCAGGCACCAAGTCATCTGGTAGAACCGCGGGCACTGGGTCAACAAGCTCGACAGCGGGCACTGAGTCATCTGGCAGGACAGCGGGTACCGAGTCATCTGGCAGAACCGCGGGCACTGGGTCACCAGGCGGAGCAGCAGGCACCGGGCCATCAGGCGGAGCAGCGGGCACCGGGCCATCAGGCGGAGCAGCGGGCACCGGACCATCAGGCAGAGGAGCGGGCACCGAGTCATCTGGCAGAACCGCGGGCACCGGGCCATCAGGCGGAGCAGCAGGCACCGGGCCATCAGGCGGAGCAGCAGGCACCGGGCCATCAGGCGGAGCAGCAGGCAAGGCAGCGGGTACCGGGCCATCAGGCAGAGCAGCAGGCACCGGGCTATCAGGCGGAGCAGCGGGGCACCGAGTCATCTGGCAGAACTGCGGGCACTGGGTCACCAAGCTCGACAGCGGGCACGGATCATCTGGCAGGACAGCGGGTACCGAGTCATCTGGCAGGACCGCGATTACTGGGTCACCAAGATCGACAGCGGGCACCGAGTCATCTGGCACGACAGCGGGCACCGAGCCATCTGGCACGACAGCGGGCACCGAGCCATCTGGCACGACAGCGGGCACCGAGCCATCTGGCACGACAGCGGGCACCGAGCCATCTAGCAGAACCGCGGGCACTGGATCACCAAGCTCGACAGCGGGCACCGAGTCATCTGGCAGGACAGCGGGTACCGAGCCATCTGGCAGAACCGCGGGCACTGGGTCACCAAGCTCGACAGCGGGCACCGAGTCATCTGGCAAGACAGCGGGCACCGAGTCATCTGGCAAGACAGCGGGCACCGAGTCATCTGGCACGACAGCGGGCACCGAGCCATCTGGCACGACAGTGGGCACCAAGCCATCTAGCAGAACCGCGGGCACTGGGTCATCAAGCTCGACAGCGGGCACCGAGTCATCTGGCACAACAGCGGGTACCGAGTCATCTGGCACGACAGCAGGCACCGAATCATCCGGCAAGACAGCGGGGACCAAATCATCTGGCAAGACCGTGGGCACTGAGTCATCTGGCAAGACCGTGGGCACCGAGTCATCTGGCAAGACAGCGGGCACCGAGTCATCTGGCATGACATCGGGCACCGAGTCATCAGGCATTGGATCATCTGGCTCGACAACTGGCACCGGGTCGTCTGGCATCGGGTCATCTGGCATCAGGTCATCTGGCTCGACAGCGGGTACCGGGTCATCTGGTTCGACAGCGGGCACCGGATCATCAGGCATTGGATTGTCTGGCTTGACAGCGGGCATCGGGTCACCTGCATCAGGTCATCTGGCTCGACAGCGTGTACCGGGTCATCTGGCATTGGATCATCTGGCTCGACAGCGGGCACCAAGTCATCTGGCATAATAGGACCATCAGGCTGGGTAGACACATCAAGCTGGGTAGGGTAGACACATCAAGCTGGGTAGGGTACACTGGGTCATTGGGCATCAGGGTATCAGGCTGAACCACGAAAGGTGGGTTCTCAGACGGCAGGCTGACCGGTTTGGATACTGGCAGGATGGTATTGGTTGGAAAGAATTTTCGCTTTTTACTGGTTTTAGTTACTGGAGCGCAGGAAGTAAGCGCAGGATTGTAAGTGGATAGAGCAGCTGTAGGCAGAGAAGAGCTGAGGGATGGAACAAAGGAGGGAGCATTTGCTACAGAGGACTTCTTTACAGGGTTAAAGATAGGATAGGTGCAGCGAGTGGGAGCAGGGGACTGATATGTAGTAGTATATACTGGGCTGTCACTGGTGGTGCTGTCGGTGATGTAGGAAGAGTGCCTTGAGCAGAGGAATGACGTTGCAAGCTGACGGACGCTGGGTGCAACAAGTCTGACCATGTCTGCAGTATGGGTTGAACAAAGCTCAGTTTACACAAAGCCTGTCTGGTCAAAGACTGCACTGCGTTTATACAATCTCTTAGCACCTGTTGTGAACATGCAGAATAATGCTCCAAGAAGTAATCCACATCATCCTCCAATAACCACACTAGGGACTCTACCTGGTCGGCACTAAATGGCGGCAAAAATTCATCCTTGCATTCGGGGGGTACCAGATGAAGCCAACTCTGCACAAACCTGAATCAATGGTTGCACCTCAGAGAACTCTGTGCCCTGATCTACTAGGCAATGAGCGATCCTTATGCATTCTAGTAGTTGATCCCTGGTATACTCCTTCAGAGTCTGATAAGCATAATCTCTGTCATCAAAGACTAGCAGAGACAAATATATCACCTCATCAAGATGCATCCTTCCCAACAACAATAAGCCAAGATGGCTTCCCTGTGCAGCCACTTCTGGTCAGGAATGGCCTTGGTGTTCTGTTAGGGATCCGGGTATGACCAGAAATGTGTGGGCTGACACAGGGAAACGCAGACTTCAGATATAGTGTGAATAAGACAATTTATTAATACTAAACAAACCATAGATGCAGTGCAAGACTAAACAACAACACAGTGCAAACAAACCAACCCAAACCTCCAACAGATAACAATAGAAACAATACTAAACGTAGTCGGGCAGGCCGGGTCGGTAGCAAACGGGCAGGCAGGGCGCAAGGAGCAGGCGGAAGAGTAGTCAGGAATAGCCGAGGTCAGGACAGGCGGAGTTCATGCAGAGTCAGGGATCGAAGCAGAATCTGGATCAGGCAGAAAGCAGACAGGATGCAGGTACAGGGGCCCATGGGAAACATACACCAAGGCCCTGATCACAGGCCTGGCCATTCCTTAAATACACCTGTTGTAATCAGCTTCAGGTGATGGCTCATTGCAGGAGTGAGCCTCTGGTTGCTGAGAGCACCCGCTGGCCAGCCCTGGTACTGCAGCCCACAAGGCAGGTGAGTCCCACCACCACTGGCAAGTCCATTCCTGACACAGGCCAACTCCCTGTGAACAGCCCCAATAGCTACTTCCACCGGCAGGGTCTTGTGGGTAACCTGCGGTGGTTGCAGGGGCTTGCCATTTATCGCCTCGAGGACCAATGGAGCAACTTGAGCCTGCAGAGGAATGGAGTACTGGGCAGCAAACGAACTGTCCATACACAACCCGCCAGCACCAGAGTCTACCAACGCCTGGGCCATCACCGAGCCTTCCGCCCAAGAGAGGACAACGGTGATTAGCGGTTTATCTTTGCGGGAAACCAGGGACGAGGAAACTCCACCCAAGATCTGCCCCCGACAGGATCTCGGGTGCAAGCGTCTCCCGGATGGACCGGACAGGACTGCCGAAAATGCCCACCGAGACCACAGTACAGGCAGTGACCCTCCTGACGCCGAGAGGCCCGCTCCCCCTCGGAAAGGCGAGCAAACCCCAGCTGCATGGGCTCACCGCCAGACAAGCCATCCCCAGGAGGCGTGGGAGGAGAGGGAGGAACGGGTGGGACAGAAAACGTAGGCGCCAATCGGTTAGGAGGCTTCCGCAGACGCTCCTTAAGTGAAGGCCTCTCCCTGAGCCTGGTGTCAATCAGGATTAGGAAGGAAATGAGTGCTTCGAGCTCCACAGGCAGTTCTTTGGCTGCAATCTCGTCCTTCATTGCATCTGAGAGACCATGAGAGAAAGCAGCCACCAGAGCCTCATTGTTCCAACCCACCTCTGCCGCCAGGGTACGAAATTCTATGGCGTACTCGGCAACGGTTCATGAACCCTGATGCATGGACATGAGCAGCTTAGCAGCAGAGGCGGAGCGACCAGGCACATCAAATATCGTACGGAAGGAGGCAACAAAACCGGCGAACTCGTGAATCACAGGGTTATAGTTCTCCCATAAGGGATTTGCCCAGGCCAAGGCCTTGTCCGAGAGCAGCAAGATTAGGAAGCCCACCTTTGACCTCTCAGTAGGAAAATCATGGGGTATCAATTCAATATATATGCCCACTTGGTTAAGGAAACCCCGACACTGACTCGGTTCACCCCCAAAGCGCTGTGGAAGGGGGGCTGAACCAGTCATACCTCTGGGCACCGCAGGCCCGGAGCAACAACTGGAGCGACCACAGGAGTGACAACCAGCCTAATAGCACCAGGAGCAAGGTGCGCTGTGCGTGCAAGCAGCGTCTGCAACGCCTGAGCGAACTGAGCCAACAAGAGATCCTGCTGATCAAGTCTGGCAACCAACATAGGGAGCGGGGGCGTACCTGCACCGTCAGGATTCTTGGCATTCGTGTAGTGTCAGGGAGAGAGGAGCCAGACACACAAGGAGGTGCAATTAAAGGTAGGTTTATTAATATAAAAATAAGACAAGAGTCTATGCAAGTCCAACAGCAGAAATCGTAGCCAAAGCCGGGGTCAAGAGCCAGGAAGAATCGTCGCCAGAGCCGGGATCAGGAGCCAGGAAGAATCGTCGCCAGAGCTGGGATCAGGAGCCAGGAAGAATGGTCGCCAGAACCGGGGTCAGAAGCCAGGAGGAGTCTTAGCCAAAGCCGAGACGGTATCCAGGAAAGCAATGAGTAGCTAAACAGGAGCTTGCTGTTGTGCAACAGACAAGACACGAATGCAATGGACAGCCACAAACAGCAGACTTATATATGATAAGCCGCCACCTCCTGGGGGAGGAGCCGCAGAGGGCTGAAAGCATAAAGGATCCCACAATGCTTTGCAGACACCTAAGATGGATGCCAGCACATGCAGCAGCACAAGGTCTGAGGAAAGGTAGGACCTTGACACTGGGCAACCTGTGGATGGACAGAGGGAGGGGGCTGGGAATGGAGTGAGGTTGCAAGATTCTCCATTAGCTGGAGAAAGAGAAGAAATCCCCTTGCCAGGGGAGGTATCGCACTCATGTGTCATTGATATTACAAACATAACTGTTGATAATGATGACGATGATGCTGATAGTGTGATAATGTCAGTAATGTTGATGATAGTGTTGGTAATGCTAATAATGATGATGATGGTCATGATGATAAAAATTATGCATTTTCATTGTTGCAGGTCACCCACAGTGCTGTGAAGGGGGCAGAGGTACAATCTCTGGGGGCTCAGCACAGGGATGGTCTGGATAGGCCTGTACCTTCCCAGGCCCAGAGGATTCTACCTTGATAAGCGCTCAGCAGTTGTTCTTGCATGGTACTGGACAGTCGGCTGGGACAAGTAGTTCCACGCGTAAGGCCGCCCTGAAAATCAATCCACACATGGACTTCAGCCACCAGCTAACTGTGAGCTTCCCTGCTGAGGAGGGTAAACAACAGCTGGCTAGTACTTGTAGTTCCTGTCTGCGGTGACAGTGCTATACAGACGATTATCTCAACCATCATAGTGTTATTGCTGATATTGCCGAGTTTCCTCTTTCTCTGTACAAAAAGGAGGTGGTGGCAGTGTGAAGGGTTAATTGTGTAATTAATCTGACCCAGTAACAATCGCATTCAGGCTGCTGGTACATCAATTTATGGTCCATTAGCTGGAAAATTGTTGTGCAGGGTGCAGCTGAGCGTGGCATTGTTACACACTTGACATTGCGGCTTCAGATTGGCTAGTCCTTTGGTCACGAGTTTGGTGAGAAGGTCAGGGGTCTGATGTGCGATCGTCACACACAATATAATACAGTTGCAGATATTGTAAATTCTGTGACATAAGAGGAATTGCTAATTTTGATGAGAATTCTGTAAATTTGTGGGGTAGGTAACCTTTGAGAGGTGGAGATCTAGCCGAAAAAGATGAAAGAGATCAAAGATCACGAGGGTTCGACACCCTTTTTTTTAAGAAAGTAACTAGCAAAGCATAACTAGTAAGGAAAACTTAGAAAAATATAATAAAACAAATGTCACTGTAAAAATATAAACTTAGTGTCAGGAATGGACTCAGCACTGGTGGTGGGACTCACCTGCCATGTGGGCTGCAGTACCAGAGCTTACCAGCGGGTGCTCTCAGCAGCCAGAAACTCACACCTGCAATCAGCCAAACCTGGGGCTGATTGCAGAAGGTGTATTTAAGGCATGATCAGGCCTGTGATCTGGGCCTTGGTGTATGTTTTCCCATGAGCCCCTGTACCTGGTATCTTGTGTTCCTGCCTCGTTGCTGACCCTGCTTGATCCTGACCTCTGCTGACCGTCTCCTGTTGAACCCCTGGCTTGCCTGACCATCCTTCTGCCTGATCCTTTGTACCGCGCTGCCCGTGAGTTACTGAACCCGGCTTGTGACTCTGACCATTCTCTGCCTGCTCCTTCGGTACCTCGCTGCCCGCACGTTGCTGACCTGACTCGTCCACGCTAGCTACTCTGCCATCCATCCATCCTGCACGGATCCAGCCGTCCCTGCTCACACCTTCTGCCTCTTCACATCAGGCTTTCTACCTGCACATACCTCTGGCGGATCCCTCTACCACGAGCAGGGGTACTCAGGGGCCGCGACCTGGTTCTGTCTGCTCCAAGTCCATCCCCACCATCAGGGGCCCTGGTGAATAAGCAGACTGGGACTTAGACTCCGCGCCCTGGGGAATCCTGTCCTGGGAACTGCTAGAGGTACCACCGAACGGTCATTACAGAACCCTACGGCCGGCCTGACCATTCCACCTCTCCAGCCCTGACTACGCTTGTGTTCCTGCACGTACTAAGATTAGTGGAAGGTTGGTTTGTTCACTGTGCGTTTATATATATATATATATATATATATATATGAGTGGCTAATAATAAACTGTATTATTATACTATACCTGAAACCTGCGTTTCCCTGTGTCAGTCCACACCTTTCTGGTCATTCCTAGATTCCTGACATCACGCCAAGGCCTTTCCTGACCAGAAGTGGCTGCACAGGGAAGCCATCTTGACTTGTTGTGAAGGATGCATCCTGAGGAGGTTGTGTATTTGTTTATTCTAGTCTTTGATGACACAGAATATGCCTATCAGACTCTGCGGGAGTATACCAGGGATCAGCTGCTAGAGTGCATACGGGTCGCTCATTCCCTAGTAGGTCAGGACCTAGAGCTCTCTGAGGTGCAACCATTGATTCAGGCTTGTGTTGAGTTGGCTTCATCTAGTACCCCTGAAAGCAGGGATGACTTCCTTCCTCCATTCAGGGCGAGTCAAATAATATCACTGGTATGGTTGTTGGAGGATGATCCGGATTGCTTCTTGGAGCATTATTCAGCATGTTCACCACATGTGCTAAAGAAGTGTATAAACGCAGTGCAATCTTTGACCAGACAGGCCTTGTGTAAGCTGAGCGTTGTCCAACCCTTACTGCAGACATGGTCAGACTTGTTACACCCAGCCTCAATCAGCTTGCAACAAACCAGTCCTGTTTCTCATCATTCCTCTGCTCAAAGCTCTTTTCCTGCATTCCCGACAGCACCCCCAGTGACAGCCCAGTATACCCTGCTATCTACCACATGTCAGTACCCTGCTCCCACTCGCTGTACCATCGTGCCAGTCGACTCGGTGCCAGTTGACTCGGTGCCCGCTGTCGAGCCAGATGACTTGATGCCTGATGATTCGGGGCCCGCTGTCGTGCCCGTTGACTTGGTGCCCGCTGTTGTACCAGTTGACTCGGTGCCAGTTGACTCGGTGCCCACTGTCGTGCCAGTTGACTCGGTGCCCGCTGTCGAGCCAGATGACTTGATGCCTGATGATTTGGTGCCCGCTGTCGTACCAGTTGACTCGGTGCCAGTTGACTCGGTGCCCGCTGTCGAGCCAGATGACTTGATGCCTGATGATTCGGTGCCCGCTGTCGTGACAGTTGACTCGGTGCCAGTTGACTCGGTGCCCACTGTCGTGCCAGTTGACTCGGTGCCCGCTGTTGAGCCGGGTGACTTGATGCCTGATGACTCGGTGCCCGCTGTCGTGCCAGTTGACTCGGTGCCCGCTGTCGAGCCAGATGACCTGATGCCTGAGGACCCAGTGCACGCTGTTGAGCCACATGAACTGATGCCTGATGAACTTGGTGCCCGCTGTCGTGCCAGTTGATTCAGTTCCCACTGTTGTGCCAGTTAATTTGGTGCCTGCTGTCGAGCTTGGTGACCCGGTACCCGCGGTTCTGCTAGATGGCTCGGTGTCCGCTGACTTGCCAGGTGACTCTGTGCCCGCGGTTCTGCTTGATGGCTCGGTGCCCGCTGACATGCCCGGTGACTCGGTGCCCGCTGACTTGCCAGGTGACTCTGTGCCCGCGGTTCTGCTAGATGGCTCGGTGCCCGCTGACGTGCCCGGTGACTCGGTGCCCGCTGTCGTGCCAGATGACTCGGTGCCCGCTGACGTGCCTCTGCCCGCTGCACAACCCGACATGCCAGCCCCTGATGTCCAGCTAAACTGGCCAATAAGTGATTCCCAGCCTGCTCCTGGAAATCCTGTGCCCAGTGATCTGCCTTCCTGGGTTCTCCTACACAAAGAGAAGTCTACCAGCAGGAAACCCAGCCAGCCGGTTTACTCCGGCAGTTGGATATTCAGCCAGTTACCTGACCCGGGCGGTGGAACATTTTGCCCACTAAGGACTGTCTGGAGCGTCCTGAGGCCGCTCCTTGAGGGGGGGGGTACTGTCAGGAATGGACTCAGCACTGGTGGTGGGACTCACCTGCCGTGTGGGCTGCAGTACCAGAGCTGACCAGCGGGTGCTCTCCGCAGCCAGATGCCCACACCTGCAATCAGCCAAACCTGGGGCTGATTGCAGAAGGTGTATTTAAGACATGACCAGGCCTGTGATCTGGGCCTTGGTGTATGTTTTCCCATGAGCCCCTGTACCTGGTATCTTGTGTTCCTGCCTCGTTGCTGACCCTGCTTGATCCTGACCTCTGCTGACCGTCTCCTGTTGAACCCCTGGCTTGCCTGACCATCCTTCTGCCTGATCCTTTGTACCGCGCTGCCCGTGAGTTACTGAACCCGGCTTGTGACTCTGACCATTCTCTGCCTGCTCCTTCGGTACCTAGCTGCCCGCACGTTGCTGACCTGACTTGTCTGACCATGCTAGCTACTCTGCCATCCATCCATCCTGCACGGATCCAGCCGTCCCTGCTCACACCTTCTGCCTCTTCACATCAGGCTTTCTACCTGCACATACCTCTGGCGGATCCCTCTACCACGAGCAGGGGTACTCAGGGGCCGCGACCTGGTTCCTGTCTGCTCCAAGTCCATCCCCACCATCAGGGGCCCTGGTGAATAAGCAGACTGGGACTTAGACTCCGCGCCCTGGGGAATCCTGTCCTGGGAACTGCTAGAGGTACCACCGAACGGTCATTACAGAACCCTACGGCCGGCCTGACCATTCCACCTCTCCAGCCCTGACTATGCTTGTGTTCCTGCACGTACTAAGATTAGTGGAAGGTTGGTTTGTTCACTGTGCGTATATATATATATATATATATATATATATATGTGGCTAATAATAAACTGTATTATTATACTATACCTGAAACCTGTGTTTCCCTGTGTCAGTCCACACCTTTCTGGTCACTCCTAGATTCCTGACACTTAGCCTACCTTAAGAGTGGACAGTATCAGTCAGTAGAACAGTGGACAGTATCAGTAGGGCAGTGAATGGTGTAAGGACAGTGTGTGCACAGTGTCAATGGGACAGAAGATGGTGTCAATATGTCAGTAGGGCAGTGGATAGTGTCACTAGAGCAGTGGATGGTGTCAGTAGAGCAGCAGACAGTGTCAGTCAGTAGAGCAGTGGACGGTGTCAGTAGAACAGTTGACGAGTCAGTAGAGGAGTGGACGATGTCAATAGAGCAGGGGCTGGTATCAGTACGGTAGTGGATGGTGTCCATAGTTTTTTATTTGTATTTTTTTTTTCAGGAGCCCTGTTGGAGGGCTTTGGTGAAGTATTAATTAGGGGTCTAAAGAGACCCCTAATTTCTCACTTTTGAGAGAGAGAAAGGGACTAAGGACAGAGATTCCAGGTCTCTTTCTCTGCAGCCTCACCTGCATTGGACAAGGAATGAATAGGAAGTGTTCTGTGCTGAGTGACTTCCTGTTCATTTACAAACTGAAGCATAGTAAACACAGTTTGCTCTGCTTCAGTTGTGAATGAACACAGTCACGATATAGCAGAAGGAAGGGGAACCTGAACAGGAGGGGAGGTGGGGACATCATTTACTGGAACTGATCCCATGTATTTTCTTCCTGTAGCAGCTGAAAGCTGTTGGGAGGGAGAGGATGAGAAGCCAGCTTTCAGCTCCTGGAGGAGGAATATATAAGTTAACGGTTAAAGTAAATACCAACAACCCCACTCCTGTCCAGGTTCCAGGGTTCAGCAAGGAAGGGTCACGATCTACGCATCACCTGCCCGTAATCAACTGGTAGCTAACGATCGACAGGTTGCCAACTCCCACATTAGAGTCTTAAAAACTAACCCTAATGTTAACTGTAAAAAGTAAACTAAACCCCCTAATCACTGATCCTAGAAGCTGATCTTAAGGTGATACTAAAGGCTTAAATGTTTTTTTCTACAATAAAAAAAGAGGTTTATACTTACCTGCTCTGTGTAGTGGAAAAAGTGGCCCCGAACCTCTCTTCTGGGGTTCCCCGCAGGTAATGCATTTAAGTAAAAAGCCTTTTAGCTTTAGAACCACTTTAACATTACCCTTAAACTAAACTAGCAACAGCTACACATAGCTCTGAGTAGCAAGCATCAAATACTATTGAACAAGGAAGCAGTACTGACAACCTCCAGTTTTGTTAAAGCAAAGTTGAAAACAGCTTAATAAAATAGAGTTTTACTTTGATTTAATTGTGGGTGGTGAGTTGATACTGAAGCTATGCTATGCTTTTTTTTTTAATGCTTTATTTTCAATTTTTAAAAACTACAGTCATGCAGAAATGAACCATCAATACATTTACTGACATAATACAAGGAACTGCAGGATATAGAATCGTCTATAAAAATTAAACTCTGTGAGGTTTGTGAAATTTAACAGAAAGGAATAACGGACTAGACATGCAACCTGCCCTATTTGCTTCAGAAACTACCGCGAGTAAGCCGATTCCATCTCAAAATGTAAAATCTGGATAGCTGCATAAAGGATAAAAACAACAATGGAACAGCAACTCAAAAAAAAACCCCAGAAGAGAGATGGAGAAAAAAAAGGGGGGGGGAGGGGGGTGGAGTATAGTCTAGAGCAGGGGTGGGCAAACTTTTTGACTTGAGGGCCGCAATGGGTTCATATATTGGACCCGGGGGCCAGACCAAGAGTAGATGAATGATGTGTATGTGTCATCCATAGTAAGTATAGTAATATTCCCCCATAGTAAGTATAGTAATAATCCCCCATATAGTAAGCATATGGTAATTCCCCCATATCCCCCCATATAGTAATTCATCCCCCCTATGGTAATTCATCCCCCATATAGTAATTCATCCCCCATCCCCCCTATAGTAATTCATCCCCCATATAGTAATTCATCCCCCATCATCCCCCATATAGTAATTCATCCCCCATAGTAATTCATCCCCCATAGTAATTCATCCCCCATATAGTAATTCATCCCCCATAGTAATTCATCCCCCATATAGTAATTCATCCCCATATAGTAATTCATCCCCCATAGTAATTCATCCCCCATAGTAATTCATCCCCCATATAGTAATTCATCCCCCATAGTAATTCATCCCCCATAGTAATTCATCCCCCATAGTAATTCAATCCCCCATATAGTAATTCATCCCCCATATAGTAATTCATCCCCCATAGTAATTCATCCCCCATAGTAATTCATCCCCCATATAGTAATTCATCCCCCATAGTAATTCATCCCCCATATAGTAATTCATCCCCCATAGTAATTCATCCCCCATATAGTAATTCATCCCCCATATAGTAATTCATCCCCCATAGTAATTCATCCCCCATATTAAGTCCCCAAGTCCCCCCTGTGTCAATTCACTTACCTTTGCTCCGCGCGTTCCTCTCGCCGTGTTCCCGCGCCGTTCCGGTGTAGCATGAAAATCTGTCTCCTATGAGGATCTGTCCCCCTCGACGTATCTGCGCATGTGCCAGTTTCAGGCATTAGCAGCCGATCGGCGATCTCCGGCACATGCGCAGATACGTCGAGGGGGACAGATCCTCATAGGAGACAGATTTTCATGCTACACCGATCTTCAGGGCGGACTGTGAGAGGAGCCTAGCGGGAGCCTAGCTCCGCGGGCCGGATTAAAAGGTCCGCCGGGCCGTATACGGCCCGTGGGCCGTAGTTTGCCCATTGCTGGTCTAGAGGAAAGGGGAGGGAAGAGAACTGTACATTAGAGCTTTAGAGAGTGCTGAACCAGATCAGTAAAAGGTCCAATTTTGAGTAGCCCCTGTTAAGTTTCATACGTAAGGGAGTGATACTCAGTTGAGTAAGTGAATGTGGTCCAAAAGAATCACGTTTTGAGAACTTACTGCTGTCTAGAATTAGCTGCCACCATCGTTTCCTCCATAGTTTGGAGTCGATTAACCTTGGACAGCCATAGACTGATTGGTGGAGGTTTTGTTTATTTCCACTAAGTTGGGATACAAGATTCGGCTGCACTCAGAAAATGTATTAACCTCTTGCCGACCGCGCATAGCCGAATGACGGGTTCACCGCGGCCGGCCAGTTCTGAGTGGACGTCATATGACGTCCTCCCAGAACGCGCTCTCCTGCGCGCCCCAGGGGGCGCGCACCCGGCGATCTCCGTGATCGCTGTGTCCTACGGACACAGCTGATCACGTGATGTGGTAAAAGGCCAATCACAGCGGCCTTTTACCACGTGATCAGCGGTGTCCAATGACACGCTGATCACAGGGAAATGCAAGTGCCGGTTCTCGGCTGCACTTTCCTCACGCTGTCAGATCGTGAGGAAAGTACTGCCGAGAACCGGCAGTTGTCAGAGCGGGGATCGGCACCGATCATCAGGGCACTGATGATCAGTGCCCTGATGATCGGTGCCCAGCAGTGACACCCGCAAGTTCCGCCCAGCAGTGCGCCCACTAGCTCCGCCCACCCGTGCCCAGCAGTACCCCCACCTGTGCCCAGCAGTGCCCCCACCTGTGCCCAGCAGTGCACCCACCTGTGCCACTCTGCAGTGCCACCTACCTGTGCCCAGAAGTGCCACCTACATGTGCCCAGCAGTGCCACCCACCTGTGCCCACCCACCTGTGCCCACCAGTGCCACCCACCTGTGCCCACCAGTGCCACCCACCAGTGCAGCCCAGCAGTGCTGCCAGTCAGTGCCACCAGTCAGTGCCCAGGGGTTGTGCCAGTCAGTGCCACCAGTCAGTGCCCAGCAGTGATGCCAGTCAGTGCCGTCTATCAGTACCCATAATCAGTGTCACCTATCAGTGCCGCCTATCAGTGCTGCATATCAGTGCCGCCTATCC